ACTTTCTCCGATGAAACTGTACAAACGTTAGCGCGCGCCGCCCGCGCCCGCGAGGAGGTCCTTGGTCTGGGCGAAGAGGTCGTCGCCGTAGACGAGCGCGCGGTTCGCGTTGTCCGGGGACGAGTCCGCGGCGACGCGGCGAATTTTCGCGTCGCGGGCCGCCATGGCCGCCGACGCCTCGGCGTCGAGGGGCGCCGCGGCGGCGAGCTGGTCCCGCCAGAGGCCGCCGAGCTCGAGGGCCGCGGCCTCGGCGCGCGCGAGCGCGTCGCCGTCGGCGCCTGCGTGGGTGCGTAGGTCATAGGTCCGTGGCTACGTAGGCGCCTACGACACTGGTCGGCGCCGTCGAAGAAGACGCGGACGCCCGAGGGCGCGAGGCAGCCCCGCGCGTAGGGCGAGTCGGAGACGTAGGGCCGGAAGCGGTCGTCGCCCGTCATGAGCTCGAGGCACGTGGACGTGAAGGGCGCGTAGTACGCCTCCGCGTAGGCCGCGTCGATCGCGACGTCGCGCCGCGGCACGCACTCGAGGCGCATGAAGAGCTCGTCCGGGTTCGCCGGGGACCCGGACCCGAAGTAGAGCGTGAGGTTCGGCACGTCCGTGCGCGCGCTCGGCCAGAGCTGGAAGCCGCCGAAGAACCTGCGGACGAGCGGCGCGTCGACAGACGAAGCGCGCTCGGACGCGGCGGAACGCGCGCGCCGACCTCGCGGTTGAGCGTGCGGTAGCACGTGCCCCAGTCGAGGTCCGGGGACGTTACGCGGTAGTACGACGCCGCCGTGTCGCTCAGCTTGCGCATGATCGCCGCGGCCTCGGCGGGCATGGCCTCGAGCTGCGCCTCGCTCGGGCCGGGCGTCGTGAAGCTCGCCAGCGCGCCGCCGAACGCGGAGGCGTCGAGCGCCATGGCGTCGCCGCCCGCGGCCGCGAACGTCGCCTCGACGATCGACCACGCCTTGGCGTACGTCGACCGCTGCGGCTCCGGCGCTTGGTCGTAGTAATTCGCGAAGAGCTCCTCGGACGCCGCCAGGTCCAGCGCCGCGTCGCGCGCGACGAGCCGCCGCGGCGCGCGAGGCGTTCGGACGCTCACGAGCGCCCAGGCGGTGGTAGCGGTGGCTAGAAACGACGCGAACATCGTCCGCCGCGCGCGCGTGTTGAATTCTTCAATGAAAGTCCTTGAATCACCCGCGCAACAAATGGCCCATAAAATAGGCATGCTCCTTGCGCTCGCATCGACGACCAATGCGCTGTCTGTGCTTGTCGTGGGTGTTAGCGGTGGTACGGGTCAACGCGCCTTCCGCGGGCTCGTCGCCGGCGGCCTCGACGCCCCCAGCATCAGTTTCCTAACGAGACACCCGGAGCGGCCCGCGGCGCAAGCGCTTTCGGCGCTCGGCGCGACGCCCGTCGTCGCGGACCTGGACGACGCGGCGAGCCTCGCGCGCGCCGTCAGCGACGCAACTTACGACGGCGTCTACGTGCACGGCCTCGCGGGCGACGAGAAGCGGATCGACACCGAGGAGGCGCCGCGCGCCGCGCGGCTCGCGGCGGCGCTGCGGAGCCTCGACGCGCCGCCCCTCGTCGTCTACAATTCGGCGGCGGCGGACGACGACACGGGTATCCCGCGCATCGAGCAGAAGCACGCCGTCGAGCGCGCGTTCCAGGGCGCGCTGCCTCGGACGGCGATGCTCCGCGCGCACCTCTTCATGGAGGAGCTCTGGAAGGACTACACGCGGCCGGGCATCAAGAAGGGCACCTATGCCTTCAGCGTGCCGAGGGACAAGCCGCTCTGCCTCACGTCCGTCAAGGACATGGGCGTCGTCGCCGCGCGGTGCCTGCTGGAGGCGAGGACGGGCACGCTCGAGGTCGTGTCCGACGTGCGCACGCCCGGCGGGCTCGCCGACGACTTCGCCGCGGCCCAGGGCGGCGCCGTCGTACACAAGCAGGCCTGGGCCCTCTACTGGATCTCGAAGTTCGCGCTGCCCGAGCTCCACCAGATCATGAACTTCTACCGGAAGACGGACTTCTCGCCGGCCATCGACGCGCGCGACGCGTTCGCCGCGTCCTTCGCCGAGCTCCCGCCGCTCCAGAGCTTCGCATCGTTTCTTGAAGAAACGAAGTGGAGCGACGCGGACCGGACCTACGAGGACCTCGCGCGGCCCTGACCTTGTACGTAACACACAGTATGTTTACTCGAGGGGTCCGGCCATCGCGGACGCGAGCCGCTCCGCGACGGCGTCGCCGAGGATGCCGCGGCCCGCGTCGGCCTCGTGGTCCCGGAGCATGGTCCGCGTCGCCGCGTCGCGCGCGCGGAGACCCGCGGCGTCCGACGGAGACGGCGTCGCCGCGGCCCCGAGCCCCGCGAGCCAGGCGTCGACGTGCTCCTCGAGGGCCGCGACGAGCGCGAGGACGTCGCCGCGGTCCGCGGCGTCGCAGGTGACCGTGGCGGCGTCCGGGGACCGGAGCGCGCGGAGCCGCGCGTCCGCCGACGGCGGCGACGCCGCGACGCCGGGCCGCGCAAGGAGTGCGCGCGCGAGGTCCGAGCCGTAGAAGCGGCCGCGGTAGGACGCGCGGGCGGCGACGTCCGCGCGCGCGAGCGCGTCGACCGCGAGGCTCGCGACGCCGTTCCTCACGCCGACGTACGTCGCGAGGTGCGGCGCGTCCGTCGCCGCGGAGAGGGCGACGTTGAAGCCCGCGGACTGGGACCTTCCGGGGACGGCGTTGGCGTAGCGCACGGCCCAGGCCGCCGTGTCGCTCGTCCACGCGGCGATCGTGCCCGCGATCTCGAGGTCGCCCGCCGTCGCGCGCCACGACGCGTCGTCGTCGGCGACGTCCGCGGGCGCCGCGTCCAGGGCCGCCGTGACGCGGGCGACGCAGCCGTCGAGCGCGGCCTCGAGGAGGGCCCAGGCGCCGTCGGCGTCGAGTTTCTGCCCGTCCGAGGGCCGGTCGACGACGTGTCGACGCAGCGTCGGCGGCGGCAGGACCTTCATGTAGTGGTGGCCTTTAAAGGCGTCGGGCACGCCCTCGAGGGGCGTCGTGATCGTCGGCGCGACGATACGGCCGTCCTCCTCGCAGAGGACCGACGACACGTACAGACCGCCCTTGTTGCCAAAGGGGCCGTCCGGGTCGTCCAAGAGCTCGCGGTCGTCGCCAAAAACGACACCGCAATCGTCGACGCCCGGGAGCGCCCAGGACAATGCGAGTTCGCCCACGGTCTTCGCCGCGTCGCCGTCGGCCGGCGCGTTCTCCGCCGGGGCGCCCGCGACGGCCTCGCGCCGTTTGAGTTTGAGGCAGAGCGCGGGCCCCGCGGCAAGCGCGGCGGCGTGGACCTCGCGCCGGTAGGTGTAGACGTCGCCGCCGGTGCTCAAAGGCCGGTCGAAGGCCGTCCAGTCGGGCTCCAGAAACGCGTGGACGCGGCACGTCGCGCGGCCGCCGTCGAAGTCGACGGACGGCTTCGACGCCATGTAGTCGCCGAAGCGCACGTGCAGCGTCACGTCGACGTCGATGTCCTCGTCCTTCGCGACGGCGCGCTGCGCGGCCGCCACAAAGGCCTCGAGCGCGCCGTACCGCGCGGGCGGCTTCGCCGCGGCCGGCGTCTCGTCCTCGTCGGGCTCCTCTTCTACAGCCGTCGACAGGTGCAGCGCCGCGTCGGTAGCTACCGCGGCGAGGTCGCCGCCGAGGACGTGCGCGGCGACGAGGTCGCAGAAGGACGCCTCGAAGGCCGCGGCGTCGAAGCCCGGCGCCGTGGCCAAATCCGCGGCGGCCGCGCCGCAGGCCGGCTCCGGCGGCCGCGCGCAGCTCATGTGGTTCGCGCCGCGGAGCACGACGAGGTCCACGGGCGCGGCGCCCGCCTTGGCCGCGTCGAAGGTGCGCCGCAGCGTCTCCGACGGGTCGCGCGACTCCGAGAGCGCGGCCGACACGCCGTCGCGCTCGCCGCCGAGGAGCAGGAGCGGCACGCCGGCGCCGCGCGACGCGTCGAAGTCGAAGCAGGTGCCCGGCGCCAGGGGCGACGAGGGACCGTTGACGAAGGACGCGCCGTAGGCGACGGCCGCGCGGATTTCCGGGAACGCGTCGCCGCAGCCGAACGCGACGACGTCGAGCGCCGCGCGGCCGCCCGTCGAGTGACCGCCGAGGGTCACGTGTGTCAGATCGAGCGCGTCGCACTCGAGCGCCGCGAGGTCGTCGAGGAGGCAGCGCAGGCCGTCCGCGGACGGCGCGGCCGCGCGGTAGGCGTCCTCCGACGCGAGCCGCGCGAGGTCGTACGGCAGCGACAGCAGGCACGTGGTCGGGCCGAAGGACGCGACCGTCGAGCTTAGACAAGTCGCGATGCCGCGCGCCGCCAAGCCCTCCGCGAGCCAGGCGTACTTCTCGTGCGGCACGTCGGCGCCGCTCAGGAAGATGAGCACCGGCTGCCGCTCGCGCGCGGCGTCGTAGGTGACCTTCGAGATTACGGACGCGTCTTTCACTTTGAACTCGCGATGCACGGCTTTTAAAGACAGCGGCGTTGCGTATGTGGCTAGCGCTAGCAGCAGAGCGGCGTGTTTCGCGCCCATCGTGGCTGCACCTTGGCTGCACCTTTGGTCAAAGCAAATTCGTTGAACGCACGCTGCCTCGTCGCGAGCTGTAGTAGGGGCAGCAGCTGTGTGCTGTTGTACCGTCATGTCGACGGCGGCGGGCGCCGGGGCGAAGCGGAAGACCTCGGGCGAGGCTGCGGCCGTCGTGCCTAAGAAGCGCCGAGGGGGAAAATGCTCCTCGAAGTATATTGGAGTTGTTTGGGATCAGGGAGCCTGGAAAGCTTCATACCGCGACAAGAACGGAAAACTTGTCCACATCGGGAACTTTGAATCCGAGGACGCGGCGGCGCGCGCGTACAACGCCAAGATAGCAGAGGTCGGGCTAAAGAAGCGCCCGACGAACCCGGAGATCGACGGCAAGCTCGTGCCGAAGCCGGACATGTCTTCCGAGTACTACGGCGTCAGCTGGGACACGTTCGTCAGCTCCTGGAAAGCCCAAGTAAATCTCTCAAAAGCCTGCGGCCTCGACGGCAAAATGCAGTACCTCGGTCGCTACGCCAACGAGCGATCGGCCGCGCTCGCCGTCGACGCCTACCTCCGCGTCGCGATGCCGAGCGTCGCCGCGGCCAAGTCGAACTTTCCAACTATGAAAGAGCTCACCAAGCTTCGTCTAAACACACCGATGCACGTCATCCTCACGCGCGACTTCAACGGGAAGCGGCACACAATCCGCGGATGCCTGACGACCACGAAGTACGACCCCTCGGCGAAAAAGTTCCGCGCGGTCTGGCAGTCGCCATCGGTGTCCGTGCGCGAGCACACCAAGACACTGTTCTACAGGTACCGCGTGAGCTTCAAGCACCGCAAGGCCGAGGCCGCGGCCCTCGGCCTCAAGAAGCGCCTCTGGGACACGCTCATCGGCGACGACTCCGCGTTCGTCCGCTGGGACATGTCGAGCAAGGAGCCCAAGAAGAAGAAGGCCAAGAAGAAGACCGTCGTCCCGCGGGGCGCCGTCGTCACGCCCGCCAAGCAAAAGACCCTGCTCACGCGGGAGCTGCTCGAGAAGTACGCGCGCGACCTCCGCGTGAGGAACATCAAGAAGAAGAGCTTCGACGAGCTCTCCTTCGAGGTCTACGGGTGCTGACGCCTCCTCGCTCTCCTTCGAGGTGTACGGGTGCTAGTTAACGCCTCCTCGCTCTCCTTCGAGGTCTACGGGTGCTAGCGTTCGAGGTCTACGGGTGCTAGCTCCGGTATATATCCACACAAATTAGCAAAAAAGAGTCACGCCGGCTCCGCCTCGCGGATCTGCGTCTTCGGCGTCAGCTTGAGGCCGTCGAGGTCGGAGACGTCCTCGAGCTCCCAGTTGACCTCCTTCTTCTCCGCGCGCTGCTTCGGGCTGCCGAAGTAGACGGTGCTCGGCGCGACCTTGTTGCTCGCCTTGGACGGGGAGATGGTGACGACGTGCGTGCCCGTGTCGACGGTGACGGTCCGGCCCGAGAGGCCGATGTCGATGACGGACTTGGACAGCGTCCGCGGCACGCTCCGGCCGCGCTCGAGGTCGTGCAGGAGCTCGCTCGACGAGCTGCCGCGGCCCACGGGGGCCTTGGGCGGCGGCGCGCTGGAGCCGAAGGGGTTGAGCTCCGCGAGGAGCTGGCCCGCGCTCGACTGCCGCGTCATCTGCCGCGACCGCCGCGACGACCGCGAGCCGCGCGAGTTGCGCCGCCGGAGGTAGGGCGCGCGCTTCGCCGCCTGGGGGTCCTCGCGGCTGCAGCGCAGCGGGCCCACGAAGCCGAAGGCGATGGGGAACGCGACCGCGAGGAGCACGACGCCGACGCCGACGACGAGCCAGACCCACCAGCGGCCGCCGCCGTCGCCGTCGCCCGACGACGACGCCGGCAGCGCGAGGGCGGCGGGGGCCGCCGTCGGGGCCCGGCTCGGCGCGTTCGTCGCCGCGGCGGGCGCCGCCGTGACGTTCGCCGCGGGGCTGGAGACGTCGCAGGCAGCCAGCGGGAGCAAAAGGGCGAGGAACATGGCACGCATGATTCGCCGGTGGGGCCGGCGGCGGGCCGGCCCCCGGGCAGCGGACGGGGTGCGGGCGGGGCCCGGGAGCGGCCCCTCCCCCGGAGCGGGGACGACGGAGGGCAGCCTACCACGACTCGAGGTTCCTCGTCACGATCGCAATAACCAATGATGATACATAGCCGACAGTTCCGTGGTGCTGCCCCGGCTCCACCCATCGATAGAGGCGCGGCATCGTGTCCGCGGCAGGCCACCCACCAGCACGAGATGGGCCTCTTCGCTCCCGAAAAGGTCTGGATGAAGGTCACGGCCAAGAACGGCGCCATCGTGCGCGAGACGCAGGGCATGACGAGCGAGGTCGTCACGGAGCTCGCCTGCGGCACGCTCGTCGTCGTCGACCGCCACGTGATCATCAAGCACAAGAACAAGGACATCAAGCGCGTCAAGATCACGGTGCCCAACGAGGGCTGGATGTCGGCCAAGAGCCTGCGCGTGTCCGAGGAGAAGCACGGCGCCGGCGCGGCCAAGCCCAAGGCCGGCGGGCGCAAGCCCTGCGCGGACCCGGACGACGAGAACGTGGCCCTCATGAAGGAGCTCCACGCGCGGAAGCGCGCGCAGGCCAAGGAGCGCGACGCGCACCTGAGCGACGCGGACGTCGTCGCGCGCGTGTCGAAGGCGCTCGCGGCGTCGGCCGGCGGCGCGGACGTCGCGTCGCGGACGGCGATCGCGGGCAACCGGAACGAGCCCGCCAAGGCCGTCGTGCTGGGCTACTTCGGCGCGCGCGTCGACCTCCTGACGGCCTTTGCGTCCCACTGGCGCGACCGGCGCTTCGGCGTCCTGACGTACGTGCCGTCGCCGGGCGACGACTACGACGAGCGGCGCGAGTACGTCGCGGACTACGTCAGAGGCGCGGACCGCGTCGTCTTCCACGCGTTGAGCAACAACGGCTACGCCTTCCTCAACCACCTCTTCCGGGACGAGCAGTTCGCCGAGGCCCTGAAGGGCCGGGCCTTCGTCGTGCTCGACTCGTGCCCCGAGGTGCCCAAGGCGGAGGACGGCTACCGCGCGACGGTCGTCCGCGCGGTGACGGCCATGGTCTGCCAGGCCAACGACGAGGCGCCGGACGCCAAGCACCCGCGCTACCACCCGGAGGTGGCCAAGCAGCTCGCGACGTTCCCCGTCCAGGGCCACGCGCTCGGCGGCGACGCGATCCCGCGGTGGGTCCCGCTCCTCGTCGTCTACTCGGAGGCCGACGCCGTCATCGCCCACGGCGAGATCGACGCCTACGTGGATTCGCGCGACGACGCGACGGGCATTTTGAAGTTCTCGGACACGCCCCACGTCACGGGCTTCGCGCTCCGCCCGCGGCGCTACGCGGCGTCGCTCGACAACCTGCTCAACGGCTTCTACATCCCCCCCAAGGCCAAGCCCCTCTACTTCGCCAACACGCGACTGGGCCTCCGGCGCGCGAACACCTACGCCAACGGCGAGGCGAGCCACGACCACCACGACCAGGGCGGCGACGGCGGCGGCATCAACTTCTACGACGGCACGAGCGCGCAGCCGACCATGTCCATGGGGCCCGGCGGCACGACGGCCGTCGGCGGCGGCATCAGCGGCGGCCACCCGGTCCTCAGCGGCGGCGGCCTCGGCCCGAACTCGGGCGTCCAAAACCCCTTCGAGGGCCGCGGCAACGTCCAGCAGCTCCCCGGCGGCAAGGGCTTCGTCATGAGCCGCTAGACTTAGACGTCGTCGTTGTAGACGGGGAGGAGGCGACCCTTGCCGACCGTACGGCCGAAGATCTTCGCGCGCTTCTTGTTGCAGGCGACGGCGCGGTTCCGGAGCACGTTCTTGTCCGTCGCGAGGTTGCCGAGGTCCGCGTCGCGCCGCCGCTTGCGGTCGTCGTCGTCGTCGGGCCGCCGCGCGTAGGGGTTCGGCGCGAGCTTCCGCGGCGGCGCCTTGGGCGGCGGCGCGCGCGCGGGCGCGGGCGCGTACTTGGGCCGCGGCGCGGGCCGCGCGGGCGGGCCGCGCGGGTCGCCCGACGACGGCGGCAACGCGCCCTGGAGGTGCGCGGGCAGGTGCCGCCGCTCCGACTCGTTCGCCGTCGACAGGATCGCCTTCTGGACCTCCCGGTCCTCGACGACGATGTAGCCGCGGACCATGTCGTGCGCGATGTCCGCGCGCGACGCGCCGAGGTCGAGCACCTCGCGCAGCGTGCGCCCGTGCTTGTACTTCTCGTAGCGCTCCGCCGACTTTTGCCGCTTCGGGTTCTCCTGCTGCACGCGGCAGGCGCAGCCGATGTACTCGTCGGCGATGCGCACCATGGTGGTCGTGCGGGCGTCGAGAGCGTCGGCGACTTATCAAGGAGTGCGGCGCCGACAGGCGCAGGTGGCGCGCTCTACGGGAGGCCGGCTGTCGCGTCGAGAGCGTCGGCGCAGGCGCAGCGGGCGCGGTGTGCTCGGGATGTGGCAGTGGATGCCGGAGTATATGTGGCTGGGTTGTTTAAGATCCCGAGTCGAATGGCGTGATACGCTTTCGAGAAAATCGATGGCAAAGAGGGCTCCGCCAGTGGTGATGGGCACCTTTGGCAAGCTCTATCTCGGCGCCATGGCCACCGATTTGCAAAATTCTTGTTGCATCTGAAAGCCGGCACGGTCGTCTTGCGCGCAGAGCCAATAACTCAAAAACTTCAACAGCAACATAAACTCGGCATTCTATTCAACCCAGCCACATATGCCGGCCTCGCCGCCGAGCTCGAGTGCAACATGGTGATGTCCGCAGCGATGCTGCGCCGCTGGTGCGTCCTCGCGCTCGCAACGCGATGCTACGGTATCACGCGTGCGAGGCAAAGCATCACCTGTCGCGGCGGGTCGAAGAAGGACGCGAGCAAGGACGACGCCTTCGGCCTGCTCGATCGCAACGATGATGGTTCCATCAGCCGCGAGGAACTCGGCGCGACCATGCGGTCGCTCGGCGACGCGCCGAGCGAGGCGGAGCTCAGCGAGGTCATGGGCTCGCTCGACGGCGACGGCGACGGGTCCGTGAGCCGCGACGAGTGGGCGGCCGCCGACGGCGACGACGACCGCGCGGAGCTCGTCCCGAGAGCAAAAATGAAGGTGGCCGAGGTGCTCGAGGAGGATCTGGACGGCGAGGTCTACCTCAGCTTCCAGATCGACCCGGCGCGCGTGCTCGCGGCGGCCGCGTCGGCCGCGAGCCGGATCGTCCGGTCGCTCTGGGGGTGGTGCTTCGGCGGCGGCTCGAACATTCCGGTGGTCGAGGAGGACGGCGGCGTCGCGGCGGCGTGGCCCGACGCCGTCGCGAGCCCCGCGCGCGCGGCGAAGCGCGCGCTCGAGCGCGGCGCGTTCGTCCTCGTCGCCGGCGCGCCGGCCGACGGCGCCGCCGCGGTCGCCGCGCTCCTCGGCGACGACGCGCTCGGCCAATCGCTGCGGGACCAGAAGGTCGTCGTCCTCGACGCCGCGTCGAGCGACGCGGCCTACGCGCGCGGCGCGGCGCTCGCGTCCGCGGCGCTGCCCGTGGGGCTGCCGAAGCGCGCGTCGTTCCTCGCGCTCGCCGCGCCCGCGGCGCCCGACTTCCGAAAACTCGAGGCGCTGGCCGTCTACCGGCCGACGTCCGTGTCGTCGCCCCTCGCCGTCGCCGCCTGGCTCGCGCGCCACGCGGACGCGCACGCGGGCGCGCTCGCCGCGGTCGTCAAGGCCAAGGCGGAGCTCGACCTCGAGCGCGAGCAGCGCGGCGCGATCGCCGCGGCCGTCGCCGACGACCGCCGGGCCGCGGCGGCGGCGGCGGCGACGCAGGCCGCCAAGGCCGCCAAGGCCGCGGAGGCGGCAGAGGCGGCCCTGGAGGCGGAGCGGAAAGCCGAGGGCGACGCGCGCCGCCGCGCGGACCTCGCGGCGGCGCTGCCGCCCGAGGCCGACGGCGCGGGCGTCGCCGTCAAGCTCCGGTGCCCCGGCGGCGCGACGAAGACGCGCCGGTTCGCGCCGGACGCGACGACGCGGCACCTGCTGGACTGGGCCGACGTCTGCGGCGTCGACCTCGACCGCTACGCCGTCCGCAAGGCCGCGGGCGACAAGCGGGCCCTCGACGATCCGGAGCTCCCGCTCGGCGACGCCGTCGGCGCGCGCGCGCTCCTCGAGTGCGTGGATAAGTAGGGTCTTTACGACGCCGCGGCGCAGCCGAGCTCCGCGCTCGCGCGCGAAAAGGCGCCGTCGAAGAAGCGCGCGTCCTGGCGCCGCGCGATCTTTCGAAGCACGACCCCGGCGCCCGTGGCGTGGTCGCCGCCGCCGTTGTGGAGTCCGTCGAAGCGCGCGAAGGTCGTGGGCTTGTCGAAGCCGAGCCACGCGGCGACGTCCGCGACCGCGTCCCGGAAGGCGGGGAGGTCGCCCATGAAGCGCTCGAGGCAGACCGTGTGGAACGACGGCCGCGGCGCCGTCGCGCGCGCGCTCGCCATCATTTCGGGCAGGTCCCACGCGTCGACCCGGACCATGGCCGCCCGGACGCCCGCGGAGGTGTTGAGCCGCGCGAGGTAGTCGGCCCAATCCTCGTCACGGCTCAGCGCGACGGGCAGGCCGCGGCGCGCCGTCGCGTCGGCCGTCACGAACGCCGCGAGCTCGCCGCCGCGCTCGCCGAGGTCGCGCTGGAAGAGGAAGCCGCCTCGCTCGGAGCCGCGCTTGTGGTACGCGTAGGCGGACGCGACGACGGCGAAGGGGTCGCGCACGATGTTGACGACGCGGTCCGTCGCGCGGAGCGACCCCTCGAAGCACGTGAGGCACCGGTGCGAAAAGTAGGCGTCGAGCCGCGGAAACGCCGCGAGCGCGGCGGCGTCGTCGAGGCCCTGGCCGAACCAGTGGCCGCCGTGCCTGATCACCGGGCCGCCGCCTTTTTCCGCCAAGGCTTGGGCGAGCTTGAAGCCCAGCGTGTGGCCCGACTTGTGGTGCCCGAAGATGATGGAGCGCTCCCCCTCCGCGTCGGCCCAGGCGCTCATTCTTCGTTCATTGGGATCATTGGGAGGCGTTGCTCCTGTGGCGCACAGCACCAACGCGAGGGCTCTCATCGTGTGGATTGTGTGGATTTGTGAGGCCCTTTGATCCCCCTTTGTGGCGAAAGTCGCCGAAACGCGGCCGACGACGCGCTCCTCCTCGCTCCGGGCGCCGCGCTCCTCCGGGAGTCGCGCTCCTCCTCGATCCCCTTCGCTCCCGGCGTCGCGCGGAACGAACCCCGTCGACATTGCTTTACCTTTACCGCCCCGCGACCTCGTCCTCCTCCGGGACGGCGAGCTCGCGCGCGGGCCCGGCCTCGCGGGGGAACTCCGCGGCGAGCGCGTCGGCGACGAACGCGAGCTGGTCGCTGTCGATCGTGAGCGGCGGCACGAGCCCGAGGGCGAAGTCCGCGCCCTCGCCGACGGGGAGCGCGAGGACGCCGCGGCGCAGGAGGCCGGCCATCGCGCGGAGCGGGTCCGGCACGTCGACGGCGAGCATGAGCCCGCGGCCGCGCACGGGCCCGAGGCCGCGCGCCGCGAGGAGCGCCCGGAGCTCGGCGCCGCGTCGCTCCGCGAGCGCCGGCGCGTCGACGCGCCGGAGCTCCCGCAGGCTCGCGCGGGCCATGGCGCAGCCGAGGGGGTTGCCGAGGAACGTCTGCGTGTGGAGCGCCTCGCCGCGCGACGCGCCCCAGGCGTCCATGGCCGCGCGCGTGCCGAGGCACACGGAGATGGGGAAGCCGCCCGCCATGGCCTTGCCGAGGCAGATGAGGTCGGGCGGCGGCGCGCCGAGCGCCTCGAAGGCGAACCAGGCGCCCGTGCGCCCGAAGCCCGAGTAGACCTCGTCGTAGACGAGCAGCGCGCCCTCGGCGTCGCACTTGGCGCGGAGCTCCTCGAGCCAGCCCGCCGGCGGCTCGCGGATGCCGCCGCGGCCCTGGATCGGCTCCACGATCACGCAGCCGACGTCGCGGAGCGACGGGACGGCGCCTCCGAACTCCGAAAAGGTCACGTGCGCGCCGAGCTGTGCCTCGAAGGGCGCGCGGAACGACGGTGCGTGGTAGGCCGTCGCCGCGAGCGCGCCGTGGCCGAGGCCGTGGTAGCCGCCGCCGAACGCGAGCACGCCGGCGCGGCCCGTCGCGAGCGTCGCCGTCTTGATCGCCGCCTGGACCGCGTCGGCGCCCGAGCAGCCCAGGATGCCCTTGGGCAAGCCGGGCAGGAACGACGCGAGCGCCTCGAGGAGCTCGACGCGCGATTCGTCGGCGAAGGCGTCGCCCATGGCGTGGACCAGCGGCCGGTCGAGCATGCGCCGCGCCGCGGCGACGACCGCGGGCGCCGCGTGGCCCAGGTTCGCGACGCCGAAGCCGCTCGTGACGTCGAGGAACTCGTTGCCGTCCGCGTCGACGACGATCGCGCCGGACGCGGAGGCCCAGACGATGGGGTCCGTCGCGGCCGCGCCGAGCGCGTCCGCGCGCCGCGCGCGCCGCGCCGTGATCGCCGGGCACTCGTGCGACGCGAGGCGCGTGATCAGCGCTTGCGATTTCGGGCCGGGAATCGCCGTGCGCAGCCGCGGCAGCTTGCGGCGCCGGCGGCGACGGCGCGTGATGTACCAGGCGGCGACTGTTGTTACCACCCCGGCGATTGCGAGGCGGCGCATGGTTTGCTCTCCGGTACGCTGCGACGCGGCTGTCTGGTTGTTATGCTCTCGGCTTGCTCAGTTACGCTGCGACGCGCGGCTCGTTCAGCTCGTGGAAGCTCATAAGCAGTGGTTCAATGTAGAAGCCGCGACGTCAAGGTGACATCAAAGTATCCGCTCTCCCTGTCCAAAACGCTTTTTAGCATGTTGGGCGCTCCCACCATGCTTCTCCGACCCATCATCCTCGTCGCGGCGTTGGCCCGGGCCGTCGAGCTCGACTGGATCGCGCAGTTCTCCGTTGAGGACAAGACTTTTACCGCGGCCGGCGACGTCGTCTTCAGCTGGACGGGGACGGGTGGGCACAACGTCGAGAAGATGGCGAGCTTCGACGCCTGGGAGAGCTGTGACTTCTCCGGCGCGACCCTCGTCGGCGAGTCGAGCGGCGCGACGGCGTCGGGCGACGACGGGGAGACGGCCTACTACGCCTGCTCCGTGAGCTCGCACTGCGACTGGGGGCAGAAGGTCGCCGTGACGTTCGAGGCGCCTCCCGGCGTCCCGAGCGCCGCGCCGACGAGCGCCGCGCCCTCGGGCGCCCCGACGACGGCCGTTCCGAGCGGCGCGCCGTCGACGCCGCCGACGACGGCGGGCCCGAGCGCCGGGCCGTCCGCGTCGCCGTCTTCGCCCGCGCCGTCGGCGTCGCCGTCGTCGCCCGCGCCGTCGGCGCCGCCGTCGTCGCGCGCGCCGTCCGAGGCGCCGACCGCGGGCCCGACCCCGGCGTACCCGGAGCCGACGTCGACGACCTACGCGCCGTCGGCCGCGCCCTCCGCCGAGCCGTCCGGGCACCCGTCGCCCTCGCCGTCGTCCGCGGCGCCGACGCCCGAGGAGCCGGCGCCGACGGCGTACGCGCAGCCGGCGCCGACGGCGTACGCGCCGTCGGCCGCGCCGGCGCCCGAGCCGACGGCCGCGACGACGCCCGCGCCGACGGCCGAGCCCGCGGGGACGCCGACGCTCTACGCGCCGTCGCCGCGGCCGACGTCCGAGGCGCCGTCGCTCGCGCCGTCCTACGCGCCGTCGGCGCCGTCCGCGCCGCCGTCGCCCGCGCCGTCGCACGAGTACCCGCCGACCGCGCCCCCGACGACGTTCTACCGGCCGTCACCGGGGCCCACGGTCTACAGGCCGAGCGGCGCGCCGACGGCGCCGCCGACGGCGGCGACGTGGCACAAGGCGAACAGCCCCTGGAAGGACTGCGCCTGGGTCGCCGCGTACCCGCCGCGCTGCGACGCGCTCGGCGAGGACGGCACGCTCGCCTACGCGTCCTGCGGCGTCGAGGCCTGCGGCGGCACGACGCCGCCGTCGCAAGCGCCCACGAAGACCTACGTGCCGCCCACGGCCGCGCCGTCCGCGGCGCCCGTCGTCCTCGACTGGGTCGCGCAGTTCTCGGTCTCGGACAAAACGACGGCCGTCGACGCGCACCGGCGCCTCGTCTTCGCGTGGACCGGCGACCACAACGTCGAGCAGATGGCGAGCCGCGACCACTGGGAGGCCTGCGACTTCGCCGGCGCCCGGCTCGTGTCGAACGCGTCCGGCGCGGTCGCCGCGGGCGCGGCGGGCTCGACGTCGTTCTACGCGTGCTCCGTGGGCAAGCACTGCACCTTCGGCCAGAAGGTCGCCGTCGACTGGACCCAGCCCGTGCCCGCGCCGACGGCCTGCGCCGACCGCGACGACTGGTACAAGAAGGCCCAGCCCTGGAAGGACTGCCCCTGGGTCGCCGCGCTCCTGCCCTCGCGCTGCGAGGCCAAGGGCGACGACGACACCTACGCCTGGGAGGCGTGCCGCGTCACCTGCGGCTGCACGGCGCCGCCGTCCCGGGCGCCGACGCCCGCGCGCCCGCCCGCGACGCCGGCGCCGACGCCGCGGCCCGCGCGCGTCTTCGCGCCGGGCGCCAAGACGCCGGAGCCGTCGCTCTGGCCGACCTACGGCGCCGTCGAGGTCGACTCCGTCGACGCCGAGGTCACGTACCGCGGCAACGTGAACAAGAAGGCCGCGCCGCGCGCCGAGGTCGAGGGCGCGTACCTCGGGTCCTTCTTCGGCGTCTGCGTCCTCCTGCTCGTCGCCGTGCGGCTGCTGGGCCTGCACGCGCGGCGGCGCAACTTCGTCGACCGGGAGGCGCCGCCGCCGAAGCGCGACAGCGACCCGGCGACGCCGGCCAAGGCCGTCGCGTGCGCCGTGGGCACGTCGACGTCGCCCGCGGACCGCAAGGCCGCGGCGCTCCAGTCGCTCAACGACTGGCGCGACGACGGCTCGGGCTCCCTGGGCCTGCCGCCGCCGCCCGAGGCGGCGCCCCTGACGCCCGACGACGACGTCTTCCAGCTCGACATGACGATCGCCGACGACGACGACGCCGTCGACGAGGACGTGCTCGGCGGCTTCGACCAGTCGTCGCCGGCCTCGAGCCCGCGGAACCCCGTCGCCCAGGCGCGCGTCGCGCGGCCCGCCCCGCGCTTCGACGACGACCTCGACGACGGCGCGGGCGACCACGACCTCCTCGACCTCGGCAAGGCCGACGCGCCCGCGGCGACGCCGCCCCCGGGCCTCGCGCCCATCTCCCTCGACGACCTGCCCAAGTTCGACGCCAGCGAGCCCCTCCGCGCGCCCGACTCGCCCTTCGACGACGACGGGCCCACCGCGAGCATCCGCGGCTCCATGACCGCGTTCGAGCGCCACATCGCCGCGAGCTCCCCGAAGAACAAGAACCTCGCGTGAGCCAGCTCGATATACTATCATCTAGACAACACGGCGACCACCGTCGGTTCGTACGGTGCGGCGTCCACGCCTCGACGCCGTGGTGGCGTCTCGTCGATGACCTGGGTCGCCAAAAGCTGGCAAAGCGGCTCTGGCAAAAAACTGCGCTATGGCGGAGGCACCTGATCCATGGACGACGCCGGAGGGCCGTGAGGCTAAAAACCCGCAGGATGTGTTGATTGAAGAGCTCGTTGTAGCCAAGATAGGTGGGCGTCGTGTGCTTCCTCGTGACGAGCTCGTGGCTCTCGCCGTGAGCGCCCAGAAAAGCGTACACCATTGGAATTATTTTAAGCGCCATGGCGCCGACACTTTGGAGGTCGCCGTACTTGTTGGCCTAAAAAATGGCGCGTTCAAGCTGGTCGCGAACAACAAGATCGCCTTGGGTCCCGGGATGCGGGTGATGCGGCACGCGGAAGACGGCTTCGAGCGCGCGCTCGACCTCCCGCCGGACGTTCTCGCGAAAGTGCTTTCATTCGGCGACTTCGAAACTTTGACCTCGTCCGAGATCTCGTCGCGTGCAGTCTCGTCCCACACACCCCGTGCCTGGCAGAGTCTCGCTCTGTCGGAGTTCCCGATGCTGCGACTTGTCGCTGACGACGATCTTCAGCGAGACTCGCGCGAGTGGCGCGGAATTTACCGTCGATCGAAGCAGCGCTTTTCTCTGATGTATGATGATCCTCCACCTTCACTGGAAGCGATGCTACCGCCACCGCCGCCGCTGACCGAGTACACATTCGCGTTTGAGATCTGGAGCGGGGTCCCGCAAAGAGGAGCGGACCTCATCGAGTGCGGGAAGTGGAACCTCGGGGACGACCGACGCGTGTGCCATGGAATGCATCTCATCAAGCCTCTATCGTCTCTTTCAGCGGCGGCTAGACTGCAGGAGGAAGAGACGTATGTCCGGTCCATCGTTGCCAAAAGAAATTCTATTCGAGTCGAGTCCTTCGCACTCTACGAAGGCCTTTTTTGGCCCCGCGAGGACCAGGAGCTAGGGGGGGAAAACTGCGAGACATTGGCTCTGCGCTACGCGTCCGATTTGATCAGCAGAGATTCAGGCTATAACGGCCTGAGCTTCAGCGACAATTCCCCCGAACCGGTCACACGTATCAGTTTGACGGGGGAGACCCGCCACCGCAGTATTACGGGCGTCGTCGAAACTATTCCCGCGAGATTAGTGATGGAATTCGAGTGGAGGGCCGAAAACGATATGTACGCGCCGATAGAAGTCTCGCACTTCGAGCACATCCTCGACCGTTACGCGGACTGGTCGTGATCTGCCTACCGCGTCCCCGTCGAGATCGCGCCACGTCCTCGACCGTCACGAGGATTGGCCGTCGCGTCGAGGCGCTTAAATTCGGGCGAAGGCTTTACAGTGTTAAAAGGGCGGCGGCGGCTGGATCTCGTCGTAGCACGAGTTGAGCGTGAACCGCGCGGACCGCCGCGCGTCCGACGCCGGGTTTCGGGAACACACGAGCATGTGGTCGTCGGCCTCCTCGTTGGTCGCGAAGCTCTTGTAGCAGTGGTCGCAGATGAAGTGCTTCGTGCGCTCCGCCTTGCGTGGCGACGCCGGCGGCGACGCCGGCGGCGCGGCGCCGTCGCCCTTCACGAGAGGCACGAGCGTGTGGACGAGCACGGGCGCGACGGCGCCGACGCGGTGCGCGCGCGAGATGACCTGCTCCAGCAGGGCGCTGTCCCGGATGGGCTCGAGGAGGAAGATGTGCGTGAGGAAGCTCAGGTCCAGGCCGTGGCTCGCCTCGCGCGTGAGGCAGAGCACGGGCACCTTCTCCGCGCGCACGACCACGGGCGCTCTGTCGAGCTTGGGCCCGCTAAACCAGCGCCCGTGCCAGTTGCCGCAGCGCGCCCACTTGAGCAGCCGACATCGCACGGGGCCGTGGCGCGGCGGCCCCGCGTCGTCCCACAACGGCCCGAGGTACCAGTCGCCGCCGTCGAAGCCGTGGTCGACGGCGCGCCGGACGCAGTCGTCCTTGCCCCAGCGTCGCCAGGTCGCGTCGTCCCGCCGCCGCGCGAAGGGCGGTCGCTCCGCGAAGGTCACCGTGACCTCGTCGCCGACGCGCCAGTTCCTGAAATTGGCCGCGTAGGCCGCGCCGTCGGCGGGCGCGCCCGGCGCCGCCGCCGCGTCGACGTGCAGGATGCGCTCGGGCTCGACGAGCACGCGCTTGCCGCAGACGCGCGCGGCCGCGCTCGGCTCGCCGCCGTCAGGATCGGCGTAGAACGCAGCGGTCCGCGCGTCCGCGACGGCGTCGTCGAGGATCTCGACCTCCATGAGCGCGCGGCCGCAGAGCTTCGCGTCCGCGTCCTCCTCGCTCCCGCAGACGGGGCAGGTCCGCGTGCGCGCCTCGTCGTAGCGGAAGCGGACCAACTCCCGCGTCGACGTCGCGTGGCCGAGGCGCCGCACGTCGAACTCGGCGATGGACGACGCGCCGAGCCGGTCGTAGAGCGCCTCGGCGACGCTCTGGAGGTCGCCCTCGTGCTGCGAGAAGACGGCCATCTTCGGATTGTTCCCCGCGTCGCGCCCCCGCCGCAGCGTCTCCGCGACGTGGTCCGCCATGGCGCAGTCGACGCGCCACTGGAAGTCCGCGTCGCTTTCGCCGGCGACGGGCTCGACCTCGATCTCGACGTTCTCGATGACGGGCTTCGGCAGCTCGAGGTCCTCCTTCCGGTGGCGGACGACGACGGTCCGGAGCAGGTCGACGACGGCCGCGCGCGCGGCCTCGCCCGCGGCGCCGTCGCCGAGGCCCGCGGCCGCCTTCGCGAAGGGCTCGGCGACGGCGGCCCAGCGCTTTTTCTTCGCCGTCGCGCTCGCGGCCGCGGCCGCGGCGCCGTCGAGGCGCGGGTCGACGTCGAGGCCGTAGTCCGGGTGCCGGAGCCACTTCATGAGCTTCTGGAGCTGGTCCAGGTGCTTCGTCGTCGCCGCCGGGTCGTCGATGTCGCCCGTCGTCGGCGTGCCGGACACGACCCAGCGCCGCTCCGCGAAGATCTCCGCGACGAACGCGGACGCCTCGGGCCCCATGTCGGACCGCTGCGCCGGGCGCGTTTTGGACTTCTTTTCGCCCTCGGGGCCGCCCGCGAGCTCGTGGCCCTCGTCGACGACGAGGCGGAGCCAGCGCAGCGCGAGGAGCGGCGACGCCGTCGCGTCGCTCGACGGGCCGTGGCGGAAGACGTTCCGATCCTTGGCGGCGCGTTCTTCCGCGTCGAGCCGCGCCTCGAGGCGGCACGCGGAGAAGGGTACGACGACGATGAGGTATTTCCGGAGCACGTCGGCCCGCGGCACGCGGCCGCCGACGCGGAGCGGCGCCGCGCCGCCCGCGGCGCCGCCGCGCCAGGTCGCGGCGTCGCCGAAGCCGTGGACGTAGCAGCAGCCGTCGCCGCTTTTCCCGTCGCCGAAGCTCGGCGCCACCTGCTTCAGGTCGACGTGGACGGCGATCTGGTGCTTCCAGTGCTCCAGGAGCGCGTCGGGCACGACGACGAGCGTCCCGCCCGTCGGCCGGAGGGTGCGCTCCGCCAGCGCGCGCTTGCCCGCGGCGCCGTAGAGCGCGGACCGCCTTTTGCTGTCTAAGCGGCAGCGCACGAGGGCCATGCCGTAGGCGAACTCGAGGCGGACCTCGTCGCGCTCCGCGGGCGTGAGGTGCGCGAGCTTGCCCGCGCCGCCGCGGAGGTGCGCCTCGAGCGCGCGCGGCGACGCGAAGTCGAAGGGCGGCGTCGCGCCGCGCAGGAGGGCGTCGGCCTGGGCCCAGGCCGTCGACCCGCGCGCGAAGCTGTCGCGGTGCGCGAGGAGCGGCCGCAGGCCCGTCAAGATCTCGCGCCGGAGCTCCATCTCGAGATGGCGGAGGGCCTTGAAGGCCGCGTCGACGGCTTCCCCGTCCCAGAACGCCGTCGGCGGCTGCGGCAGCTCGCCCGCGGACGCGAGCGCGAGCGCGAGCACCGTCACGGTCTTGCCGAGGCCCGGCGCGTCGCCGAGGACGCCGCCGCGCAACGTCCCGAAGCCGCCGGGCCGCGTCTCGAGGCGCCGCATGGCCGCGAGCGACGCGAGCTGGTGCCGGAAGAGGCCACCGCGGCCGCCGGGCCCCGAGTCGCGGAAGAGGCCCGGAAAGTGCGGGAACGGCGCGTGCGGCTGTCTCCCTTCCCCGACGCAGCCCTTGGCCGACACGTAGTCGACGCGGGCGAGGCGGTCGCGGACGCGCGCGCTCGCACAGGTCACGCCCCGCAGCTCGTGCGGCGCGAGGCACCGCAGCGCGTCGTGGTCGAGGCACGCGCGGCCCGCGCAGAAGTAGACGAGGAGCCGCTCGCCCTTGCCCGCGCCGTCCGCGGGCTCGCGGCGCCGCCGCGCCGCGCGGCCGTCGTCGACCACGACGGCGAACGCCGCGTCGCCGTCCTCGAAGGCGACGGGGCCCGCCGGCGCCGCCAGGAGCCGCGCCGCGCAGAGGACGATCGCGTCGCCGGCGCGGACGTCGCGCGCGCGCTCGTCGACGCGGATCACGACGCCGCCGCGCACGACGGCCGTCGCGTGCTTGCCGCGCGACGTGAGCAGAAGCGAACCGTGCGCGTGCACGAGATCGGCCTGGTGGCGAGAGACCTGGGCGTTGACGATGTGCAGGGGCAGCACGGCGGCGCCGTGCCGCCCGAGCGCGCTCGTCGTATTCGATGGAATCGGCGTCGCCACGTCGGTCGCCAGATTCTTCAGCAGATACAGGGTGGTTTGCGCCATCGCTGCGCGCGGCACGTTGCTCGGCGGCGGGAGAGCGCGCGTCGAGGCTGCCGGAGAGCGCGGGAAGCCGCAGGAGCTGTGGCAAGTGCTTCAGCGACAGCCTCAGCATGCACGATGCCGCGCCACCAGTGCCCAACGGTGATTACGGACCGTGACTCGGGGGGCTGAGAGGCCGAAATGACGATCGTCATACCGCTGTTATTTGCTGGCCCCTCGAGTACGTACGCCTCAGGCTGGCGCGGTTCGCGCGGTCGACGCGCGTCCGGCCGGCGAAGATCAGTTTTTCCGGCTCAAGAAACGCGACCAATGTCGAGGAGCCGGCCCCCGGATCCGAGTCGACCGGAAACCTCGAGCTCGATAGTCACTCGTTCGCGAATGAGCACCGAGAGCTCGTCTAGAATTACGCGTTCGCGGCTCGGAGCCTGTTTCGGAGCTACGGAAATCGATTTTTCCGGCTCAAGAAACGCGACCAACGTCAAAGTGCCGGTCTCGAGGTCCGAATCGACCGGATTCCCCGAGATACAGAGCCAATCATTCACGGGCGAGGGCCCAAAACTGGTCTAAAAAAACGAATTCCCGTCTCCGGGCACGTTTCGGCGCCGCGGAAGTCGATTTTATCGCCTCAAGCAGCGCGTGGGACGTCGAAGAGTTGGTTCCGAGGTCCGAGTCGACCGAAAAGCTCGAGCTAGAGTACTCGTTCACGGATGAGGACACAAATCTGGTCTAAAAAAACGAATTCCCGTCTTCGAAACGCCGCGCGTCACGAAGAGGCCCTATCTCGGCTGTATTGGGTCGAAAAAAAATTGTTGTTGGCTCTGGCAGGACGGATCCGTCAACTACCATGTCGCTCTTGCTATCTAGCTATAGGTTTTTGGCACCAGAAGTATTTTTAAATTCGACGCGTTCGTAACGAAGTTCGGTGGACGTTTTCACGCGCGAGATGCGCCACATTTTGTAGCCCCGGCTGTCGGACCCCGAGCTAATGCACTGAGATCGGCCCTCGATCGGGCTGACCGGCCTCCACGTCGTGCATCTGACGGGTACGCGCGTTGCCGCGCTGGGAGCTCTATTTTGGGCCCCGAGGGCAAAAAAAAATCTTAATACGCAATAATTTCGGCCCAACGCCGTGTTTGAGATGTCCCTGGGTTTGGTTGTGATCTACCGTGTCCAGCGGTGTGCGGGCGACGGCGATACGCGGCTGTAGTGGCCAGTTATGGCCCTCTGGGTACGCTGTAGATCCCAGATGTCCGCGTGCCTGGAGAACCTACACTCCCAGGAACGCAGTCCCTACGCCCAGGGCGCGTGCCCAGGGTGCCCGAGCGTGGTGCGAACTACGACCACGACCCAAGCCCATCCCGAGAGGATGCGAAGGACACCAAGGACGCTTATTTTGGGCGGCCCATTTTTTATTTTAATTGAACACCCCGAACGGACGCGGTCGCCGCGTGAGCGACCGGGCCACACGCTAAAACCCCTAAACCGCCTTACCGGGCGGGATGACGGCGACGGGCCTCGGGGCCTCGCGCTGGACGAGGGCCGCGTAGACGCTCACGGGCGGGTCGCTCGGCTCGCGCGGCGCGTCGAGCGCGCCGAGCGCGAGGCCCGCGCCCGGCCGCGGCGCGCGGAGCCCGGCCGCGAGGTCCGCGACGGCGCGCGGGAGCGCGTCCGCGCCGCAGAGGACGTCGTCGACGAGCGGCGGCACCGTCGCCGGCGGGAAGCCGGTGGCGTCGAGGCGGTAGAGGCCGCGGCCGACGTCGCGGACGCGGAGCGTCGGCGTCGCCGCGCCGGCGCCGTCGGCCGCGGCCCCCGCGCGCGCGGCGGCGCCGGGCGCGCGCGGCTCCCAGAGGACCACCGCGTCCGGCGCCGCGGCGCCGTCGCCGGGGAGCGCGAAGCGCGCCGCGGCGCCGTCGAGGCCGTCGAGCGCGCGGAGGAACGTCGCGAACGCCGCGTCGCCCGGCGGCGCGTCGAGGAGGACGACGGGCGGCGGCCGCGCGGCCGCCGCTTCCACGGCGCGCGCCGCGGCGAGGCCCTCGGGCGCGACGGCGACGTGCGCGACGTCCGCGGCCAGCGCGACGGCGCCGTCGTTGTCGAGCGCGGGCGCGACGAGGCCCAAGTGGTGCACGAGGAGCGCGGCCGCGGGCGCGCGGGCCGCGGGCCGCTCCGGCCGCGGCGCCGCCGCGGCGCGAAGGTCCGCCGCCGACGGCGACGGCGGCGGCGGCCGGGACGCGCCCACGGGCTTCGCACGCGCGAGCTGCCGCGCCGTGCGGAGCCGCTCGACGAGGCGGACGCGCTTCGGCGCGAGCGCCGCGCCCCGGTCCGCGCCGGCCTTGTCGAGGAAGCGCTGCAGGTTGTCGTTGGCGACGAGCGCGCGGCACTCGTGCACGGCGTCGTCGAAGAGGCCGTCGAGGTCGTCCTCTCGCAACCGCCGCTCCACGTCCGCGACGATGCGCTGCGGCAAATTCACCTGGCTCGCCGCGTCCGCGCGGACGAAGGCCGCGACGATGCGCGCCGCGTCGTCCCGCGAGCCGTCGTGGAGCGCCGCGGCGGCGAGGAACCGGAGCCCCTCCGCCGCGAACTCGCCGTCGAGGAAGCGCTCGAAGGCCAAAAGCGCGCCCGCGTCGCCGAGCACGAGGTCCAGCACGTCCAGGTTCGACTCGACGGCAAAGGTCGCGCCCGCGGCCGGCGGGCCGACGAGCGTCGCGTCCGGCGCCGCGTCCGCGCCCGCCGGCGGCGCGCGGCCCTCGGCCGACGCGAGGCGGCCGAGCGCCGCGGTCGCGCGGTCGCGCGCGAGGTCCGCCCGAAAATCGATCTCCTCGCGCGCGAGCGTCGCGGCCGGCCGCGGGTCCCGGAAGTCGCCCCGGGGCGAGCCGTCGCCGTCGCCGCCGTCGGTCCCCTCGAAGAGGTCGCCGATGAGGCCGTCGGCCTCGGCGTCGCGCGCCAAATCCAGATCCGCGCTCAGGTGCCGCGTCCGCTCCGGCTTCGTCATCGTCATGCGCACGGCCCGCCGGAACTTCTCCATGCGCGCCTCGCGGGACGTCGCCGACGGCGGCGACGGCGGGTCCGCCGCGCCGTCCAAAATGGCCGCGAAGGACGGCGGCGTCGGCGCGCGCCGCGGCGGCGTCCGCGCGCGCTCCGCCGCGGCCGCGGCCGCGAGCCGCGCGGTCCAGCGCCGCGACGCCGCCGTCGACGCGCGGCCCAGGGCGACGGCGTCGTCCTCGCCGGGGGCCGCCGCGAGGGCGACGACGTAGCGCGGGCCGCCCGCGTCGCCGCGCTGCGCCAGGAGGCAGACGGTCCGCGGCGCCGCGGCGGCCGCGGCCGCGCGCGGCGGCGGCCGGGGCCCCGCGTGGAGGCTCTCGAGGGCGTCGCGGGCCTCGGCCGCGGCGGCCCGCAGGCCGTCCCAGAGCGCGCCGACGAGGGCCGCGCGGCGCTCGTCGCGGAGGCAGAGCGTCGCCGCGGCCGCGCGCGCGTCGTGGACGTCGTCGAGGGCCGCCGCGAGGGCGTCGAGCGCCTCGGCGTCCGGGCCGCCGTCCTCGGCGTTGCGCCTTGCCTCGTCCAACGCGCCGTGGAGCGCGAAGTCGTTGAGGGGCAGCCGCGCGCGCGCCGCGCGGCCGCCCAAGCCGAGGAGCGCCGCGTCGAGGACCGCGAGCGCCGCGCGGCGCTCGAGGGGCTCCCAGAGGCCCGACGCGTCGCGCAGGGGCAGCCAGGCGCCCAGCGCCCGCAGGCCCGCGGCGGCGCAGTCGTCGCACTTGCCCAGCCCCGCGCGGCTCGCGTCGCGCGGCCGGCTCGCGGACGACGACCCGCGCTCGAACTCCAGGCCGCCCGGCGCGTCGCCCGGCAGGTCCTCGAGGGCGCGCGCGAGGGCCGCGGCGCCGTTGGCGAGGACGCAGCGCAGCAGCACGGCGACGACGGCCGCGCCCTCGGCGCCGAGCTCGAGGAGCTCGCGCGCGAAGCCCGAAGCGTCCGCGAGCGCGGCGATCGCGACGCCGCGGCAGGCCTTGCGCCGCGCGGCCGCGGCCTCGCCGACCTCGCCCAGGCCGCCGGCGTCGTCGCGCGCCGCCGCGGCGCCCGCGCCGCAGATGGCCACGGCGAGGCCCAGCGCCGTCGCCTGCGCGGCGTCCGTCGCCGCCGCCGCGGGCGCGAGCGCGACGCGGACCACGGAGGCCGCGGACGACAGGGCCCGGGCGAGGAGCGCGGCGTCGGCGCCGCGCACGGCGTCGCGGGCGCAGGCCGCGACGGCGCCGCCGATCTTCGCGCCGAGGTCCGGCGCGTCGGGCCCGTCGGCCGCGGCCGCGGCCGCGTACGCGGCCGGGCCGCGCAGGCGTCGCCCCGCGCCCAGGCCGCGCCCGGCGCGTCGTCGAGGGCGCAGGCCGCCGCCGCGGCGACGGCGGGCGCGACGAGGCGCCGCGAAACCGCGGCGAGGGCCGCGCCGCGCCGCGCGACGGCGACCAGGGGCGCGCGGCCGCGCGCGGCGCCGCCGCGGTCGAGTTCGCGGCCCACGGCGGCGACGACGAGGCCGATGACGCGCCGCCGCAGGGGCCGCGCGGCCCGGGGCCAGGGGCTCCCCGCGGCGAGGCCGTCGCAGAGCGCGCCGAGCGCCGCGCCCGCGGCGGCGCCGCGGCCCGCGCGGCCGTCGTCCGCGAGGGCGACGAGCCAGGGCGCGACGGCGGCCAAGGCGCCGACGACGCGCGCCGGGTCGAGGGCGCCCCCCGTCCGGGGTGCGGCCTTCGGGTCCCGCGGCTTGGGGCGGCTCGCGAGGAGCCGCGCGGCGCCGGCGGCGCCCGCGGCCGCGGCCTCGGCCGCGGCCGGCGGCGCGCCGCGGAGGCAGGCCGGCGGCAGGAGCCGCAGGGCCGCGTCCACCAGCGCCAACGCGTCGGACGCCTCGCGGCCGGCGCCCAACGCGCCCGACGCCTCCGCGGCCGCGGCCTCGACGCGGCGGCGCCACTCCGCGCAGACGTGGCCGCCCAGCGTCTCGCGCACGGCCACGTCGTCGTCCGGCGCCGCGGCGTCCGGGTCGACGCCCGCGCCGTCGCTCGCCAGGTTCGCGGCCCAGCGCGCGCACCAGTCCCGCGACTCCGGGCCCGGCCGCGCGAGCAGGACGCAGAACGCGCAGCGCACCGCGAGCGGCGCCGTCGCCGCGAGGGCCAGGGGGCAGCCGCGCCGGTGCACGGCCGCGCCGGCGTAGACATCGACGACGCGCCGGACCTTGTCGCGGAGCGCGGCCCAGCGCGCGTCGCCGCCGTCGCCGTCGCCGTCGCGCGCGGCGAGGACGACGGCCGCGTCCTCCGCGAGGCCCAGCGCGAGCGCGGCCAGCGTCCGGCGGCCGTGGGGCGCCAGGCGCGCGGCGACGGCGGGCGCGTAGGCGCCGTCGAGGGCGAGGGTCGCGTGCGCGAGGACGCCGTCGCGCTTCTGACCGTCCGAGAGCGCCGCGCCGCCCGGCACGCGGCGCGCGTCCGCGGCGAAGGTGCGGAACAGCTCGACGGTCTCGACGCAGGCGTCGCCGAAGGCCGAGTCCTCCTCGACGCCCGCGTCGGCGTCGTCGCCGGGGCCGGCGGCCGCCGCGAGCGCCTCGAGCGGCGCGCGCAGGAGCGCCGCGAAGCGCGAGCCCGCGGCGTCCGCGAGGAGCGAGTCGCCGAGCACCTGCCGCAGCCAGCCGTGGGCCGCGAGGACGACCTTGAGCCCGTCGTCTTCGTCGACGGCGCCGAGCCACGTCGGCAGCAGGTCCGCGACGACGTCCGCCCAGTGGCCGAAGCGGCGCCGGCGCCGCGCGTCCGCCGCCGCGCGCGCGGCCGGCGCCTCGCCGTCCTTGGACGCGCCCGGGCTCAGGACGCTGTCGCCGTAGCCCGCGCGCAGCGAGCTCGCGCGGTCGCCGCCGCGGCCCGCCTGGCCGCTCGCGCGCCGCGCCGCGCGGTCGTCGGCCGCGCGCGCGGGCAGCGACGACCCGAGCGAGTACTTGAGGAACTCCTCGACGAGGGCCAGCCGCGTCTCCGCCGGCGTCTTCTGCCCCGTCCAGCGATGGCCCGCGAAGGCCGCGGCCGACGCCTCGCCGTCGGCCCACTCGGCCGCCTCCGCGCGCTCGCCGCCGAGCGCGGCCTCGAGCAGCTCCGTGCAGCGGACCTGCTCCGCCGCGGAGCCGCCGACGCACCAGCTCGCGGCGGCGCGCTCGAGGAGGCCCTCGGCGAGCTGGAGGAGCAGGCGCACGCCCTCGAGCCGCGCGGCCGTCGCCGCGTCCGGGTGCAGGACCTTGCGGCAGAGGAGCAGGATCCGCGCGGACGGCGAGAGGCTCAGCACCTTCTTCTTCACGTTGGACCCGAAGGAGAAGAGCCCGCCGCTCGCGCGCCGCAACCGGTCGCCGACGGTGGCGCGCGCGGGCAGCGGGTCGTCGTCGCAGCCGTCGGAGGCCGCCGGCTCGTCGGCCGCGGGCTCGTCGCCGTCGCCGGAGCGCCGCGGCGCCGCGCTCGCGGCGAGCGCTGCTAGCGCGTCCATCTCGTCAGTCACCCCCGCGGCGGCCGACGCCTCGATGACACGCCGCACGAGGAAGAAGACGTCGGACCAGTCGCGCTCCTCGATGACCTTCTCGCCGCGGAGCACGCGTTTCGCGAACGCGATGGGCCGCGCCTTCGGCGCGTCCTGTTCCCACTCGCCCGACGTCATGCGCTCGTACTGCTCCACGGTCTCGAAGCACGTCTCGATGATGCGCCAGGCGTTCTCCGTCAGGAACTCGCACTCGTGCGCCGCGTCGCCGCAGGTGCGGACGAAGTCCACGGCCGTGCGCAGCCGCTTGCGGGGCGTCACGTCCTTGTAGAAGCGCGCCAACCGCGGGTCCGTCTCCATGGCGCCGGGCGGCGCCGGCGCGCGCGAGCCGGGCCGCGCGGCCGACGAGCGGGTCACTGCCGGGGCAGCCGAGACCTCGCGGATCACTGCCGGGGCAGCCGAGACCTTGCGGCCACCATCGAGAGCTCCGAGGCAATTAAATTTTATGCAACGTGACGCCAGCTTTACCTCGCTCAAGAGCTCCTGCATTTTAGGCCGGCGCGCCCTGCTTCGCCTCGTGGGGGTCGAGCCAGAAGTTGAGGATCGTCGACGGCCCGTCGCTGGAGACCGCGTGCCACCAGAAGGCGGGCAGGTAGAGGACGTCGCCCGCGGCCAGCGCGACGTCGACGAAGGGCGCGGGCGGCGCCGCCGAGAAGGGCGCGTGGGGCCCGACGGTCGCGAGCGCGGCGACGGAGAAGAGCGGCGCGTTCGACGGCTTGAGCGCCGCGGCCGCGCCCGGCGCGAAGAGCCGGACGGCCTTGGCGCCGCCGACGACGAGCAGGAGCTGCTCCGCGGGGTCGACGTGCGTCGCCGTCGCCGCGCCGCCGGGCGCCACGTAGGCGTGGACGGGCTGCGCGTCGCCGAACCAGTGGCCAAACGCCGCGCGCGGCGACCGCGCCTCCGCGGCCGCGAGGTCCGCCGCGAGCTCGGGGAGCGTCCTGGCCAGGTCGATCTTCGCCGCGTAGCGCGTCGGCACGCGCTCCGTCCGCCGCTGGTCCAGGACCTCCGCGAGCGTCGCGGAGCCGTTGGCCGCGGACGCGAAGACGCGCTCGCCGCTGAGCACGTCGATCCACGAGCCCCGCGTCGGCACCTCGCGGGACCCGCAGCGCTCCTTGAGGTAGGCGTCGTCGCCGAACTTTTCCAGAAGGGCCGCGTAGGGGCCCTCGAGCCCCCAGCCCTTGACGACGCACGGCTCGTGGCGCTTGACGAAGTCGCCGAAGCCGTCGCCCGTCGCCGGCAGCGCCGCGACGGCGGCGGGCACGGGCGGGTTCCAGTGCTTCGGCGCGATGCCCCGGCTCGCGAACTGCGCGAAGCACTTCAGGGCCGCGAGGGGCGTCTCGGGCGCCATGGCCATCGTCGCCGCGGCGCGCCGCGCTTCCGCCGTGCGGCAGCAGCGCTGCGCGGCGATGGACGCGACGCGCCGCAGCGTGCCCGCGAAGCGCGCGGCGTCGACGCCGCGCGCGGCGCAGTAGCCCGCCACGGGCAGCGCGAGCGGACCGCCGCCCTCCGTCGGGCTCGTCGCCTCCTCGTCCGCGGCCGCGAAGCGCGCGTTGGCCCGTCCGCGCATGTCTAGATCCACGACGTAGACGCCGCGGTTCCCCGGCCGCGCGAACCGGGCTGCGTCGCCGGCGAGATCGAATAACGAAGCGATCTCGACGGCGGCGCGGCCCGCGCGCCGGTCCAGTGCCAGCATGGCCTCGTCGGCGGTCGCGCGGGCGGCGCGCGCGTCGACGCGCAACATTGCGGCCTCCGTTGGCGTAGTGGCCTCGATGGCGGCCATCCTGCCCCGGGCTGGCTCGGGCGGTGTTGAAATTCATCATGCAGGCCAACATTCGCGGCGCCGCTGAGAGATTGGTCCTGGCTCAGCACTACACCACGAGCGTTCGTTGTACACACGCGACCGACGGAGGTCCTTGGTTCCTGCGCCGCTGCGGAGGTCGCGACAGACAAAGTATACCACCACGCCACCCACGAAGCGGCGCCGCACGATGGGCTCGGCCGCTACAGTGAGCTCGTCGGAGCGCATATCCGCCGCTCTCCTCGCGGCGGACACGTCGACCGTCGAGCACGTGCGGAAGATGCTGGCCAAGGTGCAGAGCCACCCGACGGAGGCGAAGTACCGGCGACTCAAGACGTCGTCGGCCCTGTTCCGCGAACGCTTCGTCGGCTCCGAGGACGTGTTGGCCGTGCTCGGATTCGTCGACGAGGGCGAACTGAAGGTCCTACCCGAGGCTGCGGCCGCGCTCGTCGGCGACGGGCTCGCGCTCGTCGACGCGCGCCTCGCGATGGCCGACGCCGAGGTCGCGGCGAAGCGCGCGGCGGCCGAGGAGGAGAAGGACGACGCCGCCGAGCCCGTGGCCGAGGACGACGCGATGGACGTCGACGACGACGACCTGCGGCGCGCCCTGGAGCTGTCGCGCGGGGGGGCGCCCATGGAGGAGGAGCACAAGGAGGCGGAGGCGCCCGAGGACGGCGACGACGACGACGACCTGCGGCGCGCGCTGGAGCTGTCGCGCGGCGGGGCGCCCATGGAGGAGGAGAAGGCGCCGCCGCCGCCGGCGGACGACGCGGCGCGGCTCCGCGCGCGCGTCGGCGAGCTCTTCGCCGTCGAGGTCGCCCGGGGCTCCGCGCCGAACGTCGCGGCGGCGGAAGCGCTGCGCCTCGCGCAGCTCGAGCTCGCGGCGCCCGCGCCCGCGCCGGCGCCCGTGGACCCGGCCGTGCTCACGCCGGCGGGCTTCCAGGCGCGCGTCAAGGCGCTCTTCGCCGCCGAGGTGGCCGGGGGCGCCGCGCCGAATGCGGC